AAGATTCAAACACCTGGAATAGCTTCACCTAAACTCTGAAGAGGAAACCCAACATTTACACACAATTCCTCACCCTTTTCACTCACAGGTTCAACCCAAGACCCTGGCCCAGGGATGGAAAACGATGGGAAGGAACTGCAGACCCTTCCTAGGGCTTTCTCAATAACCATAAGGCATCTGTTTCCAAGAATTCCCCAGGCATAATCCTAGACAACAAATTCTGTATGTAAGAGTAAGCTTCTATAGGAAGGTCAATTTCCATAACAAAGGGAACTGATTGCATGCTATTTGCAGCTCCAAGTGGGAGGAGGAACAGAACCACTCATAACTCCTTTGTCTGGAATCAAGCACCAATTACCCCTCAACAGCATTCAACTCTCCAAGCAGCAGACAGCCTGAAGGCTCAGAGGAGAAAGAAAAGGAAGAAAGGCCAGCTTCTTCTCTTTCCCTTCTGTAAAATTTAGCATAGATCACAAGCCTTCCTCATCCCCCAAATAAGCCAAATTTACAGTTTCAAACTGGTTTGGTTTACTCTTTGGCAAATCAAGGTGATTTACCCAACAGCTTTCTTGTAACCAAGTCTAAGACACTACAATGGTTTCTGTATGTTCACTGCAGACGGATTTTCAACTCAAAACACTCCTAATTTAAAAGAAAAAAGAAACCATCCTAGGCAATGGTATTAGTCTCACCTACATGAAAAACTATTTTTAGAAGAGGGACTTTTAAACCAAAACTAGTGAAGGCCTTCTCTTCTTGGAGGACTCTCACTGCCATCAGGTACGTTTGAAAGCTGGACAATGAATAAGGAAGATTCAAACCGCTGACACTCTGAATTATGGTGTTGGTGAATGACACCATCAACTCCTAGAACAAGCAAAGCTGTCTTGTAAGATATACAGCCAGAAGGTTCCTCAGAAGTGAGGATGATGAGACTTCATCTCACACTCTCAGAGCATGTCATCAAGAGAGACCAGTCTCTGGGGGAAGGACATTATGAAGGTCAGCGAAACAGAAAAGTCATCAATGGAAGTCCTGACAGTGGCTTCAGCGATGGGCAGAAAACCGGCAGTGGCTCTGAGGATAAATGGTGTCTTATCTTGGCAAAAGGGTCGCTGTGAGTGGGAGCCAGGCTCAATGGCACTTAGCAGCCACCAACGCCCAGCACGTCAGAGGTGCTGCATTCAGCCAAGCGCTCAGCTAAGTCAGACCCAGGTGGAGGGAAGAGGCGGACAGAGAGAACCACAGGACCAAGAGAGCCACAGGCCCGACAGAGCCACAGGGCCCACGGAGCCACAGGACCATCACCGCAGGCACTGCTCATTGCCACCTGCCTGGGTTGCAGATTAGAACCTGGAAGAGAAGCCTCTGAGACAAGAGGGGGACAGCTATTCAAGCCCTGGTCATCTCCCTCCAAAAAAGTCAGCCAATGGGAACCGAGCAGCCCAGTGCCACTGCATGAGGGGGCTGCCTGACAGCGTGCGCTTGTCACCACACCCACAGAAGGGATCACTGGCCGCTATTCTTACTCTGCACAACTTGGCCCTGCGACAATTACAGTCTGGACTTTGATGGCGGGAGGACGAGATACCACGAAGGGAAACGTGTCTTCCGCGCTTGTGTCTATACATAAAGTGGCGGCACACATAAGACAGGCGAGTGCATGCTGTCCATCCAGAGTTAGCTGGAATGTTCCCGTCAGCAACAAAGCCTCCAGAAATGGGACCACTGCCTCTACACGACTGCTGCCTCTACATGAGTTTAACCAACTACAGAGACAATGGTTCCAACTGCCAGTCAGTCAATCTCTGAATTGGTCTCACTGGGAAAATTAATTTTTTTTCCTTTGGCAGATGGTTGAGTCACAAAGACAGAAGGATTCATAAAAATCACACATGAACATCCTGTAAACATTTAAACACATAAAGATTAAATAAAGCAACCATGACCTTGATTAAAGTTAAACTCCCTTTTCATGTTTACAGCCTTGAGCCTTGCCCAGAGTCCCACCTCTTTCAAAAGATCTGGTTCTTACAGGACACTCGAGCTCTGTGTACATTTATAACAGGTGTGTTGCTTAACTGATTTGAAAATGAGAAGAAATGGCATCAGGAGAAAGACCTGGAACTTCAAAGCCTCTGGGGTCTGCTCTGAATTGGGGTGGGGTGATACAATATATACAAAGTGGATAAGGAAAGATACGATGTATAACATGCTCAGTGGATCTGCTGTTTTCTATCCCTTTCTTGGCAGTTAATTCTTTCATCTCCACTAAAGATGCTGGCCCCAGACTAGGAGGTAATGCCATGATGGAAAACCTGACCTTTAGGAGGTTAAATGACGCGTCCAAGCCAACATACCAGGCTGGCGGGACCAGAGCCAGGGCCCCACTCCTGCTGCCCAGAGCATCACCTCCCAGCCTGCACAGACCAAGATCAAAGCTGCTCCCAGCATCAGCTGTGAGATTAGCACTGCCCTCCCATGGTGAAATTTTATGGAGCAAATCTGCCTGCCACCAGGCTTGGCCGCATAATCTCAACAGCAGCTTATGGAGGGCTGGAGCGCTGTCAGCCTCCTGAGAGGCAGAGGTGATATGTGGCTTTAAACATCTGGAGGTGGAGGGATACACGTGTCAGCTTCTTGTTAGGCTGTTCAGTAAGCCAGGGCTTTGAAGATTTCCCCAGAAGCGCTTGCTACCTGGTGTCAGTGTGCCCTTTCTCACAACGCATTTTATTGCTCTTGGCTAAGACGGCTGGACAAAGGCTGCAGACCTGACTCTGGGGCAGGCAGACCGCTGTGCAGGAGAACTTGAACTTGATGTGTGTGAAGCTGACAGTTCCTTGAAGGCCCTGTCAACCAGCCATCCAGCAAACACTACCCGGAGTGAAAACAGAACAGCAGTCTGCACCTGTCTCCGAGCAATTATTGACATTATCTTGACATTATCGCCATACAATGGGTCTCTTTTTGAAGTTGTTTTCCTGATATTTAGCAGTTTGAATGCTAATCCCCTTAACAAAACTGTCCCCAAAGCTGCCCCCTCCCCTTTCACCTCCTCTCCAGGGAGGAGGGGGAGGGGCTGGGTACCAGTCTGCTTGGCAGCACCTGGACTCACAGTGATCCAGGCTCTTGTCATTCATGTTACCACCAAGAATTAGCACAAGGCATTAAGGGAGGAGAAAAGAAAGGCCATTTTGATGGAAATAAGGGGCAAAGGAATAATCTGCCATCAAGCCAAATGCTTATTTGTGTATGGTTTCCCAAGCAAAGCTTAGAAAAGCCTCTGTTGATTTTCATGTACACAAAGAAAGGTAATCCTTTCAAGGCGACTAAATCACTCCCTGAAAAAAGCAGCTCAGAAAAAAAGGCACCCTGTCAGGGGGACTATTCACCACCAAATAGATGCCACAAATCACCCTCGGTAAGTAAACAAAAATAAGCATGTGGGAAATGTTTGATTGGAGAAGGGAAGGAAGCCGGGCAGAGGCAGAGGGCAGAGACACAGGGGCGCTATTTCATCAATCATGCTCCGGAGAGAACCTTCTAGCCAGCGCCAGGCCGGCCACCACCACCTCAATGCAGATCCCACAGGCAAGTAGTCCCAACTAGAAGGGTTTGATCTCTGCAAACGGAAGCACATTCCAAAGCCACTAATGGCAAATTAGCAAAAAAAAAAAATGCTGGGAGTCCTGAGGGTGGGAGGTGAAGGTCCCAGAAAGCCAGGGGATCCTCCTAGTGGCCAGACCAACCAACCCTCCCGCCCCATCTCGCTCACAGCATCACTGTCTACTCTCCTCTCATCCAAACGAGCAATCAGCAATTAGGCATTTTGATACACGAGTCTCCTTTACTGGCTTTTAGCATTACGGGCACCAAATTGATGCAAACTTGCACTCCATCAAAAGATATGATGTAATATAAAACTGGAGCATTGCATTACGCAATAAAAAAAAGATAAAAATTCAATGTGGCAGTAATTCTGGGAGTCAAGAGCAAGCACAGAGGCATCTACACCTTGAGGGAATGTTAAACATCACGTACTATTAAAAGTGCCATGAGTTCAAATTCAGAACTCATCAGGAAACATACTCCAAATAACTAACTGCTGTTAGAAACGTGTCTTATCAGCCAGCTAGCCTGGAAAACTCGAACAGGTCAGAGTGGTTTTGAATTTCACATTTTGCCTGCCCAACTCCATCCATCCAAGTGCTACCAAGTGTCTCGGATGCCACAATAGTCAGATACCCAGAAAGCACTCCTGCAATCGGCAATCATCACTCCAAGCCCCAACTGGGGCTCTCCCAGGGGGGAAAGAAGGATCCCATACCTCATCCAATTTCCACCTTTCAAAGTATTCATTTTTGCAAACCCAGCAACGAGAAACTCCCCAAAATTTCATTAGTGCCAACAGTACTGTTACAAATGAAAACTGCCTAGAAACCTATTGGCAATGATTTAAGGTACATTTGCCTTTAATGTACTGCTCCGTCATTAGCCTCTCCTACTCACTATTGCTGTTTGGAAGAAATTAATGGGAGAGTGCGTATTTAAATTTTGCCCTCTTGCTCATTTATTCACTTTATGGAAAGCGCACAGCAGAGGAACGCTTTGGTTTATGACCAGAACACTGTGAATACCAAGCATTCGCTGGTTATTATAGTGTGCAGCACAAATTTGCTATTTATAGTTTACTGAGTGCTGGGTGGTTGGTAAGGAACAAGTTAAGGCATTTTGAAAACTATTACTCTCCATTACAGCTTCCAACACCAAATTAATTTAAATAAGGATTCAATGTATTCTCTTAAAGATTAATTGGTTTTCAATGCATGATACACACAAAAAGCATACTCTGTCTCCATCAAAGTCACCACACAGGCCCAGCTCCAGAATGCAAAAAGAAAGACATTATGTGGGCACCATTCTTCTTCCCTTGGCAACAAGAGTGAAACAAACATATCTATTAAAAAAGCTTTTACTCAGGGTAATTAAAAGAGTCTTACCTTTGTTTACAACAGTGTTGAAGAGTTTTTCAGAGTTGGCATCAGATGCCTGTAAAACAAGAAGGGGGGGATGTTACTGTCGTTAATATTGCCATAGTTGTCACCCCCATCACCAGCCCCTCTTATTTTAAGTCAATTTACTACATGTTGGAAAGGCAGACATGGAAATCAGCAGTTCCCCAAATCATCCACTAGGTGGAGCAAGTTGACTGCAGGAGAGAGACCTGCAGTGCAGCTATTTGCTGGGGGGAAAAAGATTTTTTAAAACGTGTCCTTATTAGACGTATTATCTGTGCAAAACATATTTCCACGAGATGATACACAAAGCAATGGGCTCATTCACGTGATGATTTTGCAATTCTGTTGACAGATCATTATGTGGGAGACGGTTCTTTACTTCATGGTATTTGCAGACATGCCTGTTTTTCAATTTTCGTTCATAAGCCAGAAATGTCTATTATTTAACGCTAAGCTCTTCCTCTTAAAAAGCATGAAGTCAGACTGCTAGGAATGAATTTTTTAAGGAGGTGCCTGATGACCTCAGGAAAGGATCAGAGGGGGTGCTTGCTCCTCTCAGGAGCCGGGAGGACCTTGGTGAGAGACACCCAGATCTGCCTCAACCCAACCACTGCTCATTCTCTAAGTGTGATTTCCTTTGACCACAGCTAGAAAGCACGACTGCTAATTATTACAGTGCCTTTAGGAAAGTGAAATAAGCCTGTTTAAGCAGCAAGACTAAAGCCAATTTAATTATACACTAATGTTCTGGAAAATAAACATCAAGTAGGCTTGGAAGAAAATGCTGTATGTGATATACCAGGCATACTGAATATTTCCCTAACTTGACACATGAAATAAAAATAAAAACTTCTCCACCCTATATTCTCAAGTTATATTTGTATTTACTTATCATGACTACACTGTATTTAGGTTTTTGCCATGCGACAAAGAAATCACCTATTTCATACTTTATATACAGATATGCATGTTTGACGGAGCAGAGCTTAGCATGTTGGATAAATATGAAAGAAATGCAAAAAATAGGGGGAATTCTAAGTGTCCCACATTCTGAATCAAGGGCCGGCTTTTAGGGACAAAGAAGATAGTCAATTTAGTCTTTCCATGTCAGACCCACAAAGACGAACGACTTCAGTCTAGTTCTGGGTGACATTTTATAGTTCTCCGTGCAAGTGATAGGGAAAGACAAAATATTGCTGTGAAGACTGTCTCCCATTATTCTATTCCTAATCTTCCTACTGTAGATTGATTCACAAGATTACAGGACGATGGAAAGAATTTATGTACAGAACAGGCAATGGAACGTGTGTATTAATGCACGAGCAGTTCTGAATAAAGCCTAACCAGATTTCTATTCTGGAGGAAACACAAAATATATACCAAGGACTAACACTGTTTGTTACAGCATCTTTTCCTAGAACAACCTGCCACAAAAACGTCTGATGAAGAGGGGAATGGGAGACAGTTATGAAAGTACAAAGCAGATGAAGAAAATTGGGTTACAACACCACAAATCACACTGATTGGCATATTGAAACATGAATGATGTTTCTAGGAATGTGAGTTTCCATGTTAAAAACTTAAGGGATCGGAATATTTCGCCACGTTCAAGGAAAAAAAGCTCTCTGAATCAAAAATATAATCAATGTAATGGTCTTATTAAGGCTTAAAAAATTTAGCTGCTATTTTAAAAAGCACTATTCTTTTATCAAATTGAAATAACCCTTGAATTTTAGGAGGTTAGTGGTAGTGGAATTACTGAGTCCAATTGGCCTACAGAAATAATGAATTCTTGCACTCCGATGCAAAAGGCCCGGGAAGGGAAGAAATGGCTCCTGGTTAAGTTTTCATTTGCACGGAGCTGTGTGTGGGAGAGCGACAGAGTGAGGAGAAGCCAGGCAGGCACAGGGAGGTTGGGCTCTCAGACCCTCACTGGCCACCTTTGTCACCTCCACCGAGCCATCTTCACAACCAAGTGATCCGATGGTGGACGTTTTAAACCCGAGGATCTGCTTATCGAGCCAGCAGCCCACAAGTTCCTAAGAAAATCATTCTGACAGGTCGTCTTCAGAGGTTAAGGGGGATGCCTTTTAATCCGTCTCCCCAGCTCTTTAAATTGCCAATCCATGTCACAAAGCCTGAAAGGAGGCTTTTGGCAACTGGGGGAGGGGATAACTAAAAACCCTCTTCCATTAAAAAAAAATAAAAAGGAAACAGCAGCAAACACAACAAAACTCAAACAAACCACACACACACCAAAAACCCCAGCGTGGACGGCACCAGGCCCTGGGTTGTCACAGGGTGGGCCGCCTTCGGCCTTCTCTAGACGCAGCTGGTTAACACCGTGGCCAGCCCACCGTTCTGAAAAGTCTGCAAACAGCTTCACAGGCAAAGTCTGCGTCTGAAGGAGAAACAACACGAATCCCCTTCCCTTTATGTCCTCGATGAAAGGAACTTCCTTTTGCTTCCGATTTGGAGGCAAGTGCGTAAACCCTCTAGCTTCTTCTCTGAGAGGGCTTCTTTTTCATTGATTTTTAGGCAGAAAGTCTGCGTTTCCTGCAACGACGGCGGGCCCTTTTCTCGGCTAGCTGCTTTGTGGTTTGTTTTTTTTTTAATCGCCAAGGACTGAGAGCGACCGGGTGAGCAGGAGGCGACTCGTCTTCGGCAACACTGCTGGGAGAGGCTTCTCGCCATCAGAACCAGGGAGGCACATTTATGCCGAAGACCTTTCCATTTCGTTGCCCATTTCATTTCCTTTAGTCCCCTTGCTCAGCTCTAGGTGGGTGGGTGGGGGTGCAGTAGTTGCATCGAAAAATGAGAACACAAAGCTCTTTTTGCCTCCTTTTCATAGGAGATGGGCGACGACTGGGTTTGGATTTATAATATTAAAAGCCCTCCAGGCGCCGTGAGCTGGCGTTTATGGAAAAGTTAAGAAGTGCAAGCGGCGGCAGGAGGCGGGGAGCGAGCCGGGAGGAGCGGGCGGTGCGCGTGCAGACCAGCCGGTGGCGGCGCGGGGTCCCCGTCCCCGCTCGGACGCAGCCCCAGGCCAGGCAGCTCCCGCCCGCCCGCAGGGGGGCTGTGGAGAGAGAGAAGGGGCGCCTCCTCCAACTTGGGCGCGAGTTGCTCCCCTGGGCTGGCCTCCAGCTCCTTTTCACTCCTTCCCAGGGACCCTGGGGACAGCGGCGCAGTGCCAGGCCGGGCCGAGGGCAGCAGGCCGCGGAGGGAGGTGCCGGCCCCGGGTCCCTCCCGGCTGCGCCGACCCCACGCGCCGTGCGCCCCGCTCGCACAAAGGCGGCGGGGGGCGCACCACGCGGAGGGGCCTGCCGCCACACCGGCCGCCGCAACAAAGACCCCGCTGACCGCCCGCACCCCGAGCCGCGTTACCTGGGCTCAAACGGGCAAGTGGTGCTGTCAGCCCCAAGTTCATGGCTCGGGTCGCGGCTGCACTCCCGCCGGGGGCTCGTCTGTGGCCCCGAGGCCACCAAAGCGCACGGTGACCAAACACCCAACTCGGCAGGGCTCCGGCGGCCGAGCCTGGCGGCGGGTCCACGCAGCCCGATCCGGAGCGAGCGGTCCTTTCGGCGCCGGCCCTCCCGCGTGCACAGCCAGCGTCCGAGGCGGGAGAGCGGCCGGGCCGCCGGCGCGGCGCGCGAGCTACGAGCGAGGCAGAGGCGGCGGCGACAGGACAAAGGAGACCATGTGCGGAGGGCGGGAGGAGCGAGCGCGCGGAGGGCGAGGCGGCTCCCCGGCGGTGCCCCGGGCTCCCC